CTCCAATTTTTCCCCAAAGAACAAAAAAGAGGAAGAAGAAAATGGCAGTGATCAAGAAGAAGAAGACATCATTGACATCTCTGTTCTTGGGGTGTTACAAGGCAAAGAACGCAAGAAAATACGAAGGAGAGGAGAATTCTGTAATGAAAATAAGAACTTGTCCGGCGTTCAAGAGGCTGTCTTTATCGGACATAAGCGATCCAAGCTCGCCCATGTCGGTCATGGATGATCTCTCTCATTCCTTCACATCTCAGAAGCTTCGTTTATTCACGTTGTCTGAGCTGAGAGTGATTACGCATAATTTCTCAAGAAGTAACATGTTGGGCGAAGGAGGGTTTGGGCCGGTTTACAAAGGGTTTATTGATGATAAGGTTAAACCGGGTATCGAAGCCCAACCGGTTGCGGTTAAGGCTCTTGATCTCCATGGCCATCAAGGTCATAGAGAATGGCTGGTAACATTTCTCTCTCTTTTAATATGTGTGTTTGTTAGATTCAAGACTTTTCTACTAAAAAAGAGACCAATTTATTTACGAAAAGACCGTCCCGATTATTTTATGTTCATTGAATTTTAATGCATTAGAAGGATTTAAGGTTACTTTTTGTTTTTCCTTCTTACCTATGAATCTAACCATTTTGCAGTATGTCATTGAAAATATTTTTTTTGTGAATTTTCTTCATAAAGTTTTTTTTAATATATACAAAATTTATCGATAAATAAACCCTTTTTGTTTGCAGGCGGAGATAATATTTTTGGGACAACTAAGTAACAAACATCTTGTGAAGCTAATAGGGTTTTGTTGTGAAGAAGAGCAAAGAGTGCTTGTTTATGAGTACATGCCTCGAGGTAGCTTGGAGAATCAGCTCTTTCGAAGTACGTCATCTACTTAATTTTTACCTAACTTGCTAAAAAATGTTTCGATTTTTGTTATATATGTTCTATTATAGAACTTCTATATATGGCCTGTTTAAACCTAAAAGAATAACTCCATGAAGACTTCACGTTTTTTACGTATACAATGACATAAAGAAAAAATATTTCAAAAAGAATCCATATGCTTCACGTTAACTTCGTCAAGTTTTTAGTTTATTTAATTGGTCGTACACTACATTAATAACTTTTTAAAAACTATATACTATATATCTTTTGCAATTTAAACAATATTCAATAATATTAGGTACTAACTTTGAAAAGTGTTTGAATTGGGACAGGAAATAGCTTAGCAATGGCTTGGGGAATAAGGATGAAGATAGCCCTTGGAGCCGCCAAAGGTTTAGCTTTTCTCCATGAAGCAGAGAAACCAGTCATCTACAGAGACTTCAAAACCTCTAACATATTGTTAGACTCCGTGAGTTTTTTCTTGTTTCCTATTTAAATTATGTATCCATTATTAAATCAAACTGTTATTTTCGACTGATTAATCTTTGATTTTGCAGGACTATAACGCCAAATTATCTGACTTCGGTCTAGCCAAAGATGGACCTGAAGGCGAACATACGCATGTAACAACCCGAGTGATGGGAACACAAGGTTATGCTGCGCCGGAATATATCATGACTGGTAACATTTTTGTATGGAATTGATTTGTTTTACCGTGTAAGCGATATGCATGCTTTGAGATATATCTTTAATGGTTTACATGTGTTGTAGGTCATTTGACGACGATGAATGATGTATACAGTTTTGGAGTAGTTTTGTTAGAACTGATAACCGGGAAACGGTCCATGGACAACACCCGAACACGGAGGGAACAAAGCCTCGTGGAATGGGCGCGGCCCATGTTAAGGGACCAAAGAAAGTTAGAGCGGGTAATTGACCCAAGGCTCGAGAACCAGTACAAAATAGAAGCGGCTCAGGTAGCTGCTGCCCTAGCATACAAGTGTCTAAGCCAACATCCTAAGTATAGACCTACAATGTGTGAGGTGGTTAAGGTCTTAGAGTCTATTCAAGAAGTTGAGATTATGGAGCGTGATGGTAACAACAAAGAAGGAAAGAAGTATGTTGATATAAAAAAGTTTAGGCATCAGCGTAAAGGACAAAGACTTGTGAACATCGCTTATTCAGATTCTCTCGTTTACAAGGAATCCAAGGCAAAGCAAAACAATGGCGTTTGAAATACATCATTTCCTCAGACATTATTGAATATTCATATTATATGAACGAAATTAATTCTCATCTTAAGTTATGACCCTTCTTCCATAAATTTAAAGGAAAAAAGGTGATGTAATTAAGTCTACCTCTTCTCTGGTATTCTAGATTTCCTTTACATAATTCAAAAATACTTTGTACAAAAGAGTTATATATGCACAAGAAATATAAAATAAATGTTTCTAAATCATACAATTTTCTAGAAATGATAATCTTATTTATACGGCTATGTAGCACGGAACCTTCGTCAGAGGTGCATATCATGCTTCAGAATCAGAAGCATTTGGAAACTCTTTTGTATGAATCTTCCAAAAATCCGCTTTGAAAGCACATTAGAAGTTTACCGTTCTTTTTTCAAAACACGATGTCGTAAATAAATAGAAATATTTACAATATTTTATATTCCCTCTGTTTCAGTTTAGTTGTCGTTTTAGGATTTAAATTTTGTTTCATAATACTTGTCGTTTTAGGTTTTCAATGCAAATGTTTGGTGAAAATTCTAGTTTTATCCCTACTGTTTTAATGTTTTGGCAAATGAAATTTTTTATAAAATATATTAATAAAGGGTAAAACAGAAAATTTAATGTTTTTCTTAATTTGTGTGAAAAAACTTTAAACGACAACTAAAACGAAACGGAAGGAGTAATTTTTAAAATAAACTCGAAAGCAAATTTAATGATAAGTTGGTTAATGAAGGTTGTGACAGTTTGTTGTGTGAACCAAATGAAAAGATTGAGGAAAGACAAAAATATTTTGTGTTTTTAGAGGCTCATAGTGTCATTTAACATTTGTGCATATTAGTCTTCGGCTTTAATTTATAAAGAAGATTGCTTAATTAGAAATATGGTATAACATGTAAAAAGTTGATGACATAATATTTGAATCAGATTAATTTTGGAGGCTTTAAATTTAATGAATTTTATTTAAACGATACACAGTTTGAGGGGGGGGGGGGGGGGGGTTATGGAATCAAGGAAAATAAATAAATTTTAATTACTGTATGTTTAATTTAGTAGGTTTAGTGTATATAAATTCCCTTCGTTTTTTTTATTATTATATAATGAAAGAAAGAAAAGATGATTTAAGATTTTTATGATACGAAGAAAAATATATAGAAAAATTTATGTATATATAATCTTTTTTTTTGTCAAACGAAATTTCATTCACTTAATATCTCAAAAGAAAAAAGTTCATACAAACTGAAATTAAGATAATACAATGGGAATAAAGATAAGTTCTCCATGGGAATAAACTAAAGTTGAGCGATCTCTTTGGAAAACTCATGGAACATGGATTATCAATGTAATTAATCAAAAAAAAAAATTCTCTCCGTTTTGCGAAGAGGCTTGATGCATTTGAAAATTTTTCTTCATCAAATATATTACTGAAGATCAATCATATGCAGTCAAAAATATAATGTAAGTCACCATTTTTAACAACTCTAACATATATCGCCAAAAATATAGATTAATCATACAAAGTAAAAAGTAATACGCAATATCACTTTCATAAGTATCTTCTAAAAGTTTTTAAGGTTACATACATTATATTTTCATAATTCTAAAGGTGGATTTGAATTTTTTTGCCACGGAAGTTTCGATTTGATATATTATTTATTAAAATTTAAAAAATTTGACGGTGGTGACGAAATGTTATATTGCGTATTATTTTTTACTTTCGTAGAATTGGCCAATATATTTTTTGAGATGAAAAGTAAAGTTCTAAGAAAATAGCTAGTTGCTGCTTTTTGTTTTGCAAAAAATCTATATAATTAAAGTCAAATATTCCACCCATTCTATCTGTATTATTAGATTGAAATTTTATGAGTTTTTATATAGCTTTATTAAAACTTATATGGTTGCATATGTGGGAGGCTTTATGTAGTTTCGTATGGTTGGTTTTCGATTGACCAGTATTAAGCAGACAATTCACATAGAGTGATCTTCTTATAATTAAAAGAGAAGTACCAATTGAAAAATGTATAAATTGCCATTCAATTGAAGCATTTGGAGAGTGTTAATAAATATTGAAAAGTGTTAATTTGTCAAAAATCTCACTAAAAGACTTTTTTTTTTTTTGATAAACTCTATCAGCTGATCCGGTCAGCTTCGGTAGAAACGCACCGAAATGCTTCAGAGTGGACTACTCCCCGAAGGGCCACCACACTGTCTGTCCTGAGTTTGGAATACTTTCCGACTAATGCCAGGAGTAGCCAGATCGCCTATTACTGCACTATCAGGTAAACTGCTTGGGCCTTTTGGCCCAAGCCCAGACTTCCCACACAAATAGGATTTTTTGTTTCCAGCGTGGATCGAACCTGGGTTAATTTCTTCCAACATTTCCCCAATTTTCAACTACCACTGGACCACAGATGTGTGGGCCACTAAAAGACTTTGGATCCGTGTGTTTTGTAAATAGGCGGGTCTTGGATCAAATCGTTGCAAACACGAATTCAAGTAACTAATCGTGTTTGAGCATCGCAAGTATGCATTCCTAGCCATTCATCATTTTTGGTATCTAAATTAGGGCATATTCGATCACCATTCAATGCATATTCGATTATATCTCGCCTAATTCCTAAACAAATGATATTTTAATATTCACTTAGATCTCATCCTAACTATAAACAACACTATAATATCCTTATTTGTCCAAAAATAGTGAATCATTCATTATATATCAAATACAATATATGTTGTTTACGCAATCTTTTATTTTACGACTTCTCTCCAATATTTTCGAAAATCTTGAAGCCAAAATCCCTAACATCCTTAAACACTATAAATATCGACGTCATTATCATTTCTAAATCATCAAGCAAATACCTCTAATCATAAAAAATCTCGCATTCTTCTTTTTTTTTTTTGCTTTTTCTTCACAAATGGCTCAGTCAATTACTTTCCTTGATGATGTCAAAGCCATACAAAACTGCTTGCAGGGTGCAAGTCTATGTCCTTCATACCTGGAAAATATTCACGACGAAATTTGGTGAGGCATTCGACATAGTTTTGTCTGATTTCAAAGTAAGATTTCTTAAACTAAATTTTGGCATGACTATTCAATACTTTAACAAAATACTGTCAAATGTAATACTAATATACTTTATCTATTTTGCAGCGCAAGAAGATCCATGCTTCAGTGAAAAGGGAGCATATGAACCGTTTGAAGAAGCTAGTGGTTCCAGGATAGTGGAAGACCATTGAAAACTTTGGGTTGACTTACGTAAGTGGTCAATTATAAGTAACTGATCATCGTTACAAATTGGAATTCATGGCCTAGTCCAGAGTTATGAGAATGGAACCTCTATCTGATTCACCTTACCTAACCTTTACCTCTTTCAATGATGTTTTAACTAGTGGTCTCAACCCAAACATCTTGATTGGTATGTTGTTATTTTCTACTAATTTTCTTCTATACCTACTCCTTTATATATGATAACATCGAATTTGATTTTGTCGGAAATTCGCCGGAATATGCCATTTCCGACAAATTTCTGACCAATACCGTTGTCAGAAATTGTGATGTTTTCTTGTAGTACGTTAGTTATCTGTCTGATTTGAAACTTATGAAGACGTACGAAATGGATGGTTTTTGTGAAGATTTTGAGCATCTGGAATAATCCTCCAAAGTATGGAGATGAGATTACAACCATGATTCTGGTTGATGAGAATGTATGATTAAAATGTTTGGATGATAGGTTTAATTTTGCTGAGTATTAAACTCATTTCGATAATTATATTTTAACATGCCCTTTTTTCCTGATTGTTAGGAAAAAAGAATTGATGATACAATTCAACCAATTGAATACAAGATGAAGCAAAGTGTTTATAGTATTTCCTTATGTAGAAATATATTTCAAATTCTCTAACTGTTTTTTAAAACATGTGAAGAGATGATCTACTTAAGTGCATATAGTATTGATCCTCATGATGTGGATTCGTTAAACAACCATGTCTTCACTTCTGATTTCCTCGACAATATCAAGCTTTCTGGTTTGCCAAATCACAATCTGCGTGTGAATATTGGTACGGCGGTTAATGTTACTGAGAAACATTGATCCTAAAGGCGGGCTATGTAATGGCACTAGATTATAAATAACGTAGATGGCTAATCATATATTAAAAGCTAGAGTGATTATTGGAAATAGAATTGAGGGGAAGACAACTTCCATTAGTTGTGGCTTTTGCAATGACAATAAACAAAGCCAAGGACAATCACTTAAAGAGGTAGCGCTTTATATTCCGAGAACAGTGTTTTCGCATGGCCAGCTATATGTTGCCTTATCAAGAGTTACATCCAAAAAAAAATTGAAAGTTCTTATTGTGGATAAAGAAGGAAAAACTCAGAGTCAAACCATGAATGTAATATTCAAAGAGACCTTTCGAAATCTAAGAAATTAGGAGAGTTTCAGTTTTCTGTTTTGTGTAATTAGAACAACAATGTTTTTTTTTTTAAGTAACAGCAATTTGTTTTAGAACTATATGAATCTCCAGTTGTTTTACAATTGTTAGTTAGTAATTATATGATTTGTCAAAGAATTCTGAATGCAACACATTATAAGTTTCTTATTCATATTCATACTAATACAATTCACTGAAATGCTCTTAAACAAAATAAGTGATTTAATCTAGATTGCAGTTCTTTACAATAAAATGTTTGTTTTAACATTTAGGACAAAAGTAAGTAAGCTTAGTTGAATTTTATCCCTAGACAAAACAAATATTAAATGATTTTTTATCTGAAACAATAGCTGAGAAACTAACCTTATAGAGATGATTCTTGATTGTTTTCTGGTCGATTAGCGAATCTAACTCTTGCCCGGATTAAGATAATCGGTGTTTTGGACTGCTGTCTACTTTCAGATATCGATTAGAAACCAATGCATACTTTCAGATGGTCTTATCGGGATTCTCTTTGAAGTCATTCACCGTCAATTGAAAACAGAAATGATTTGGATTAGATTTTCGGAAATTATACAAAGATAAGAACTCAACAAATAAAGAAACATGTCAATTGAGTTCGGTATTGACTCACCAACGATCAAAATCGGTCCAGATAAATGCTCGATCGGTGGATTATCTGATCGAAAAATCGAGATGCTCGGAGAGCATCAGAAATAATCTTGTAAAAAATGTCGTTCTGTTTTTTGTTGTTTTTTTTTTGTTTAAAGACTTATGTCACTAAACGAAAATTATCTTAATTTTGTTTACGTTGTCTTTATAATGATTTTTGATTATTTAAGAATATACAAAAAATGTAAAACAACCATAACCACTTACAACATATTTTCTTACTTAAATTTTTATTACAACAATTACAACAATTACAATACCAAAATGATAAACATAAAAGTAAATAGAACTTAACACACTATTACAACAATTACAATACCAAAATGATACAACTTTTACTTTTTCACATTTTTGTAATACTTTAACTATATTAAATTTTGATAAAAAAAAAATTTAATGTTTAACCACATTAAAACACCTTCTCCTAATTAATAATTTAACAAGGAAATTGTTTTTTATTTATAATTATCTATATATACATTTTCGAAGTACAAATGTGAAATAAATCCTGGAGTTGACACTTATTTACAAGAGAATGTCATTGTCATAAATATTTATCTATTAATTAATATTACAAAATATTTTCAAAAAATCTTTTAGAAACCATGGCTTTCAAATATGGTAACAAATTGATTTTGTTTCTAAATTCGATTAATTGCTAATTTTCCTAAAAAATCTCTACCTAATTTAAATATTAATATATGATTATTTTTTCACTTTTATATGATCTTATAGTAATTTATTTTGAATTTATATAAAATACATATAATTAAAAAAATAATTGATTTTTCTGTATATAATATGATTCAAATTTTTTAAAACGGACATATATTACTCAATCGATGAAGAAAAAATATGTGTACAATGTCCCACATTGCTTAAAAAATTGGGCAATGGTTCATAGTCATAATATAAAAAGGACCAAAATGATTCTGAATGCAAAACATGGTTATATGGTTGGACGGATTTGGGTCTATATTAATACGGGACGGTATACCACAGGTGAAACCTAGAATTTAAAATAAAAATATAATTATATAGTCTTAAATAATAAACAAACCAAACAATATTAACAAAACAAATATAACTTAAAATTTAAAATTTTTAGTTTAAAAAAGTTTACCCACAACATACGGTGGAATAAATTTTTTTGATACAAAATAATATCAAATTATTATAATAGTCCATAATTATAAATGCTTGCTAATATTAACACTATATTATTTCTATACCTACAAATCTTCTAAGTACATATTTCAACTATATTAATTATAATATAAAATAAATAAATGAGAATTTAATTTTTTATAATATCAATTTAAAAATTCAATAAATTATAAATTATTATATAAAATACATAAAATACAATTTTACCTCGCGGTACACCGCGGATTAAATCCTAGTATATTATAATTTTCAAATATATAATAGAAAAAACGAATAAAATTGATACATGTTGAATCATAGTAAATGTTGGAAAGGGAGAAAGCGTTGAAATTTCCAGTTTTCCCAAACTGACTTGAAGTTTCCATTTTTCCAATTCCCAGCCCGACTCGGATACTCAATCCGTGTATATATATAGATATAGCCTCTCCTGGTGATTTAGAGACGATACAATGTTGTTGAAAAGACATCGCTCGTCTGAGGAAGAATTGCTACCCCACGATGTAATAGAACTCATCCTCGAGAGACTTCCCGTGCAGGCTCTGCTTGTATTTAGGTCTGTATCCAAGAAGTGGAAATCAACAATCGATTCCCGACGATTCAAGGAACGACGTCTGCAGCGCCGTAGGCACTCAAGAGGTGTCTATGTCCTTTTCCTGTGTGTCAATGGTGAAAATACTCTCAAACGAGATGATAATCGAGTATTTAGCTTCGGGTCATCAGTAGCTAGGACAGGCAGGATCCCTAATTCGGGCCCCTTGTTCTGCTATGGCAGTTGTGATGGTATTGTATGCCTCTACGGTATCCACACACCGAGTATTGTGGTGAATCCCGCAACTGGATGGTATCAGAATTTTCCTCTTTGCAACTATCAACAGCTCTACATCCCTAGGTTCGATAAAAAAGATGTCAACTTCCCAAGTCCAAAGCTTGGACTCGGTAAAGATAAATTAACGGGCACGTACAAGCCGGTTTGGTTATATAATTCATCCATATTTGGCCTAGAGAATGCTACTACTTGTGAGCTTTTCGATTTTACCACCAATGCTTGGAGGTACGTTGTCCTTGCTTCTCCTTATCAGATCAATGCTTACCATAAACCGGTATATTTAGATGGGTCACTTTATTGGTTCACCGACTGTGAAGAACCCAAGGTACTATCTCTCGATCTTCACACCGAAACTTTCCAAGTCATATGTAAAGCTCCCTTTGCCCATCCATGTGACCCTCGTCAGCTCACCATGTGCATCCTCGATAACCGCTTGTGCGTATCTGAGAAAAAATGGCCCACCCAAGTCATATGGTCGTTCCATCCTTCAGGCAAGACATGGAACCAAATGTGTTGCATAGATCTCACCCAAACTTTTTCGTGGTTTGGTGTACCCAAGTTTGCCCTCTCACCGATAGCAATTATGGACAAGGGTAAGTTATTGCTTCAAGGTCGTGATACCTCCCACGCACTGGTGATACATGATCTCCATACCAAATCCTATGAATTTCTCTTCAAACCTTCCAGACCCGTAGGTTCTGTTTATTATTTCGAGAGTTTATTTTCTGCTTTGTCAAATTAACTTGTCTCTTTCTTTTCTTTGTACCCATGATGAACCATTGTAATTTAACATTTTCCGCATAAACGATGATTTGATTATATATCTAACGAGGAACTTTTTTTTGCTATTGTATTATCTGTATCTGGTGCTCTACTAAATCACCAACCCATATATGTATGTATGCATGTAACCGCAGAGAAACTACACTTGTGTAAACTTTAATCATTTACCTAATTCTATATATTGAAATGATGGTGATTTTCTCTACTACACAAGTGTCAATGCACAAAGGCGATCAAATCTTGCTCCTTCGAAAATTGAGGGTCAAAAAGTATTACTGAATTAGTAAGGCCATGTGTGTTCACGTTTTTAAATGTTATAAAACTATTTAATCCTCATAGGCTCATAACATCGAACACAAATTTATATGAAACAAACAATCATGCATTCTCAAATCAGGTACAAGACATCCGTACATTGACCACAAATTCCCTACATGACCACAACTGCAACAAGTTATAAAAAGTAGTATAGATCAAAAGGTAAGAGCATAAGCTAGATCAATCTTGTCTGTATTATGTTCACATCCTCTCAAAGCTAAAGGTGTTCGAAGAAACCCAAGTTTCTCCTGATAAACTCGGGTTCTCATGTGGTTGACGACTTAATCTTGTTTCTCAAACTCACCATGGTTGATAGTACCTTTCCAAGTTGTTAGAAGCAGGCTTGATAGATCTTTTGGCTTCTATTAGTTCTGCATATATATTACCCCATTGAAGGGTTTTTCTCTACTTCGACCATCTTAATTAATAAGAACTTTAACAAAAAACGCTCCAAAAGATTCACAATTCTGGATCCATATGGATAGTTAGTATGAACAAATAGGAACATGCATTTGTTAAGTATGAAATCTGGATCCATTATTGTGATCTAATAAAAAAAGTGAATTCTAAAACGAAAATTTACCTTTGTTTCTGTTTTTTACCGTAGAAGCTCCGGAAATTTCATCATTTTGGGAATAAGAAGATTCAGCTAGATATGAGGAGTCACCGATTATTGTTGAGGTTAGCTAAGATTTATTGAATGGACTACCTGACACTTTTAATAAGATTTAGCGTATTAGCTTACTTTGAATCATTAAAATATTACATATACAATCTTTAGACTGTTATACAACAATGAAGAATATGACTTACATGGAATAGGGGAGAGATTTCTTGCTTTTTTAGAAGGAGTTTGATATGGAGTGTTTGAAACATTTTCCTGGCCTCTTACAGTGGAACATGACAAAGTTCTTTGGTCAGATGGTGATAGTCTAGAGCTATTGCATGCGTGGTGAGTTAGATATATCTGTCAAAACTCTTCAAAATACCCATGATGGACCATTGTAAGTTTGTAACATAACATTTTCGGCATAAATGATGATTTGATTAACGAAGACCTTTTTTTTGCTATTGTATTATATGTATCTGGTGCTCTACTAAATCACCAACCATATAGTTAAGCGCAGAGAAACTACACTTGTGTAAACTTTAATCAATCACCTAATTCTAGATATTGAAATGATGGTGATTTTCTTTACTACATAGATCAGTGGTTTGTCAATGCACAAAGGCCATCGAAAATTGAGGGTCAGAAAGTATTACTGAACTAGAATTTAACCCGCGGTGTACCGCGGGGCTATATTTTTTTAAAAAATGTAATGTTATTTTTTTAAAGATTAACTGAAAATATATCATATTAATTTGTATTTTTAAATGTAGATATCTATCTATGTATTATTTAGTGTATGATTACTATTGTTTAGGTTTCAACTTTTGAAGTATAGATTCGAAACCATACTTTTTTAAGTAACGATGTATGGTAGATTTTAAAATTTTGAATATTTTACTCCGCAGTATACCGTGGGTCGATTTTTTTATAACTAAATTTTTTTTTTTTTTTTTGATTGAATGTATAATTTATTGATCCAAGAGTGAAAGTTTATGTACAAAAGTAATTGAAAGCAACATGAATTAAAAGGAAAACAGAGCACAAAGAAACAGAGCTTAACAAGTCGAGCATCTTATCGGACTGGTGCGACCGCGAACCAAGTTTGAAGCAAGGTACGTAGTCGAGGTTTGTTGGAGTAGTCTAGTGAAGCTATCCTGTTCCGAATTTGTTTGTCAATGAGTCTCACCATCTGTGGCACCAAACAGAATGTGCCGCTTTGTATCCGAGTATTTCTCTCCCTCCACACAAAATAGATTGTGATTTGGAAACTGAGGCGTATTAATATGTTCTTATCATGACTGCCCAGCCGTCCTAACAAGCTTGCTAGTGTAATATCCCAATCTGGATCCAATCGATGTCCGAGAATCTTTCCCGCAACCTTAGACCAGACAGAGAAAGAGAATGGACACGCGAAAAACAAATGGTCTCGCGATTCATCTCTTTCCCCACAAAGCACACATGGTTGATCACCTCCCCACAACCGCATTCTTACCCCCGTGGAGAGCCTGTCGCGAACCGCTAACCATGTGATGAAGCTGCAACGTGGTATGCCCTGGCCAAACCACACAACTCTGCTCCACTCTGTTAGAGCTGAATGTATACGAAAATGTTCCCATGTTCTTGAAGTTGAGAATGCCGGTTTGAAATCATCTACCCCGTGCCGCCATAAGAACAAATCATGGCCCTTTGACGGAGACGGTAGTGGTTGAGCTCGTAACTGTTCAATGATCGAAACTAGATGAGGCAGCCTCGTCCTACGAAGCCTCCAACCATTAGGACCCAGCGCCTCCAACCATTAGGACCCAGCGCCTCCTTGACTGTGGCCAGGAGCGGTATGCCTAATATCCTCGGACCCGCGTCACCCATTAAATCCAGCAGCCTCCCCATGGGAAGCCAGTTATCATACCAAAACGACACTGTTTCTCCATTGTTGACCTGAGCCTGTATGAAAGGCTTTATGTCGTCTCATAGTTTTAGAAGTTTACGCCAGATCCGGGAGCCTAAGTTCGTGTTAGGAGTTGTCCAATAAAATCCTTTCCTCATCAGATTTTGTTTTGTCCAAGCCACCCATAGAGAACCAGATAGAGAAAACAATCTCCAAACCAATTTATACGCGAAAACCCTTGATACATCTCGCAGTCTTCTCAAACCCAAACCTCCCTCTGCCTTTGGTTTACAAATATCATTCCAAGAGACTTTTGCCCCCGTAGATGTGTTCGGATTGCCTGACCACAAGAATGCACTGCATAAACTCTCGATTTCATCAAAACATCTTTGCGATAATCTAAAAACCGAGCACCAGAAGCTTGAGATACTCGTAATGACTGATGAGATTAACTGGAGATGGCCAGCATAAGAGAGACTTTTACTCGTCCAGGAGAGTAGACGTGTTCTGATCTTGTCAATAAGGGGTCTATAGTCATGATTGGTCATTGTCTTTGTGGTGAGAGGTAGCCCAAGGTAACAGATCGGTAGAGTCTCAACTTTGAGTCCCTGTTCAGTTGCTGCGGTAATTGTTGATTGTTGGCTCCGGCCTCTAACAAAAACTGCGGACTTACTAGCATTTATACGCAGACCCGAAATAATTGCAAATTCTGCAAACACGACCATTGTTTCTCTCAAAGAATCCGGGGAGCCATCACTAAAGACCAGAATATCATCTGCAAAGCTAAGATGCGTTACGCAGACTTGATCACAGCGGGGATGTTTACCAATGCGGCCTTCCAACATAGCCCGGTCCAACAATTTAGAGAGCACATTCTGAACCCTGATAATTTGTTCCATCGCTCTGTGGCTGAAGAGAGAGCCATCATATTATCCTGAGACGGGTCAGAAATTGCAGCGTTTTGCAAAGACACAACTGGTCATAAGCTTCAGCTGCCTTACGTGGGATATCACCAAATTGAGTTCGATTCAGGGCACGAAGATGATACTTCAGATTTTTTAGTTTCTGATGGAACATAGAGAGGGCAGCTCGTGAGTGATACAGAGGACCAGAAACAGACCATACATGTGCCACCGTCGGCAGAAAGTGATCGTGTGTTGCCATGAAATCAAAAAACCTAAATGGTTTGCGATGGTTCAAATTTGTGGAGGATAGATGGATCACACAGCGCAAATGGTCAGAAATGCCTCCCGCTTCGAATGGGACATGAGATTGGGAAAAAATAGACAGCCATGCCGGGTTGGTTAAGGCTCGATCAAGCTTTTTACTTATCGGATTATCATCTTGATTGTTAATCCATGTATAATTTGGCCCAGAAGAAGAGAGATCCACCAAGTCACAAAGAGATACCACATTCTGAAAGTCTCTCATACCCGCCTCATTTAGAGAATAATCAAGCGCCCGAGAATGATCAACAAGCGATAGAACCTCATTAAAATCTCCAGCTACAATCCAGGGAATAGTCGCTGGTATTATTGTAGTCTTTAAGTGATACAGCTCTGCCCATAAACTTCTCCTTTCTGCAACGAAATTAGAACCATATATAAATGAACACACCAACTGGATATTTGCATTGACCAGAGAAACTAGACAAGTAACCTGCTGAGCGCTTTTAGCCAGGATCATGACCGTTACTGCACTAGACCAAACAACCCAGATACGACCCAGTCGATGATACTCATAATTTGTGGTGTGAGACCACCCTGGTAGAATAGACTGAATAATAGGCTCTGCGAGATGCTCTTGTACTCTAGTCTCAATGAAACTTCCAATCGCAGGTCGCTTTGCTTGTATCCAACCACGGACTGCCTTATGCTTGCGAGGTTGATTGAACCCTAGCATGTTCCAAGCAAAAAGGGATATCATTGCTTCCGAGTGGAAGCGGTATTTGATTGTCCCCCATCTTTACGTCTAGCAATTACTTGTTTAGGTCCACGAGACCGACTACGACCCTTCCTTGAGCCCACTTCCTTCGGCGGAAGAGTGGATTTCCCTGAAACAGTTTCCTTTACTAGCTCTTCACGTTGCTTAGTAACCACATTATCTTCATCTGCATCTGATTCTACCACTTCTCCTTCTTCGCGAATTTTGTCTGTTTCATGGGTCTGATTGTTTTCACTGACACCTGGTTCACCT